TACGTACAAACATATGCGCGGAAACGTTCCGTCGGTGCTCGTTCCTCGAAGACCGTTTGATCGGTTCGTTTGGAACGTCGGAAAGCGTCGGAGGTTCGTCGAAACGCGAAACGACGCCGACGAAACGGAGCGTCTTATTTTTAATAGGTGGCACGCGTGCGTTGTACGCGGTCGACGGATTTTTCGGTTTTTTTTTTCTTTTTTTAGCTCGTCGTCGACGGCGGTGAAAACTCGAATGTGCAGCGACGAACGGAGAGAGGGTTTTATTGGCTCGAGAGGAGGACGGGACAAGCGAGCGCGAACAGAGGACGAGGAGAAAGGGGAAAGGTGGGAGGATGTAATCGAATATCCTAGAATTTAATTCTATCGGTTCGTCCCGCGCGCGTTCGACTTTCATATCGCGCTTTTTTGCGACAGTCATTAAATCTAATTTATCGCGACGGCCGTGTCGCGTTTCAGGGATGCGTACCGGTCGACGGCGAGGGACGCCGCGTTTCCGCGATTCCGATCAGGACGACCATCGGTTCGCCGTTCTTTCGCGTTTCGTTTCGTTGCCGCTCGACAATTCGCGGACGAATTTAATCGGCGTCGAGTTTGTTTTTTAAACGCGCCGTAAAAAATGAAAGATCGGAAAGACGACGAGGATCGATCGATGATCGAGCGAAACGAGAAACCGAGCAGGAGAGCGTGCGAGGGGATGGCAGCGGCGGGTGGGGAGGCAGAGTACGTCGTTCGCGGTGCGAGCCAGATAACGACGAGAGGTTATAAATCTCCTTCCGGTCGGAATCGGGAGCGAAGCAATCTGCGGAATGGTCCGGTCATCCGTCCATCAAGTCACGCGCACCGCGACGTACAGTCTACGTATTAATATATCTGCGGGACGGAGCGGAGATCCGCGCGCGAGGCGAGACGAGACGAAGCGCATACAGCCAGACGAATCGGCCACGCCACGGCGTTTCGCGCGGAACGCCGTTGCGGGTGCACCGTGCAACGCGTATCGTGTATCGCGTATCGCGTATCGCGTATGCCGTAGGATGTATGCAGCCTGGACCGAGCGTATATCGTGGGGTAGGACACGGTGTTCGATGTACGGTGCGTGCCGCGTACGGCTTCGTCTCTCTGCTCTTTCGCTCTTGCTCGCTCGGTATTTATGCGCGTTTCGATGGGAAAAGGCAGCGCGCAACTCGGACGCGACGCAAGATAATTTCTGATTTACCGCGCGGAGATCCATCCAACGTCGCGTTTTCGAAATGAAAATGTTCGTTTCGTCCTCCTCTCCCCGGTACCCCTCTTTCTCGATTCTTTCGCCCTCGCGACCCGGACCGAAACGTTCTCACGGTTTTCGAATTCCCGCTAGATCTCGAAAGTCGCGAGCGAGAAGACGCAGCGCGGTACGGGGCGATCGTTGAAAAATTCATCGCGACAACGAAATCGCGAAACGATATGTCCGCGTGACTCGCCGACGCTTTGGGTCGTTACATTATTACGCGCAACTCCTTGCGGGAATTTCGAAGGAAAGTTTGCGCTCGGGAATCGCGAACAAGCGTCTTTCTACCGTCGTTTCCGTTCAATCTTTCACGATCGTTTCGCGAACGTTACCGCTGGACGCGCTTGCATCTTTCACGAGCGACCAGCTCTCGCAGTTTGCTTTTTCTTCGATCTCGACTCGACCGTTCCGTTCGTTCGTCGTAAACGTATCGCCGAGACAGGTCCCAAAAGGATTTCCGGCATTAGCGCGCTAAAAGCGGAACAACCTTGAGACGAAACGTCGCGCGCCGATGGTGCATGGGAAAGCGAAGTTTGACGAGACCGAAACGTTCTCGAAACGGAACGGAATTAAACGGGAAAGAAGAAGAGAGTCGAAATTAAGTCTACGGGGTCCGGTTACCCACGGATTATATTCCAAGTATTGCCATTATACCAAGAGTTTCCTAGGAAGGCAATTTTCGAAATATTTAAAATACATACCATTATGGACGTTAAGCCGTCCCTTATTATAAAATAGTCTGCGGGAACGGCGGTGGCTACGTAACGCACCTTCTCGTTTCGACTCGGTCGATTCCGAGTCGGAGTTTCGACTCGGACCGGATCGACTTTCTTCGTTCTCGGTTCTACACCCGGCGTTCTTCGTTCCGTCGAGATCGCGCAACGAAATTATAACCGTTGGACGCGCACCGGTACCTACCAATTTCTTCCGGCTCCGTCCTTGCCGCTCGAAAACGCCAAAGACCCGCGGTCGTCTCGAATCTCGAGCAAAAACTAACTTTACCTGCCATCGCCGGAAGCGATACGCTTCGGCGTGTATAGCGACGAGAGTTTCGCCGCAACGTCTCGCGCGAAATCGCGTGTGCCCAACCGTTGCCCTGCACCCGCGCTCGCGTCCCGGGGCACGTCGAGCATTTTCGAAGAAGAAGTTTCGTTTTCGGACGGCGCGAAGACGAGCGAGAAGGTCGGGAGTACGGAAAAAGGGACGACTCGAGATCGGAACGGCGATAGACGGAAACTCTCGATCACTTTTTGACGGGCGGCGTAATCGAGTAGCGTACGAGCGCAGACGGTGGATGCAACGGCAGAAGCTTTTTTTTCCTCGGTGCTTCGAAGGAGGGTTCGGCGTGACGCATTTTAATACATCAAACTTTTCAATTTTGCCGCGGCTCGTATCGCGACACCGGCTCTGCCCGTCGCGAAATGACGCTCCTGATATATCGCTTAGGTGGCACGTTACGCGTTCATCAACGCGGAATCGATATACGCGTGCGTACAGGCAAACAACGCGTACACCGAGAAGTTTGTTTCGCGAGCAAAGGGGGTGGTGCGCCCGTGCGAAAACACAATCAGGACCCCGTACGGCAAAAACACTAATTTAAACGGAACGAAGGAAATATGTAGTCGTATCCGTTGTGTATCAGGATGAATGGCGCTCGCCCGGTTACTACGATTCACGATTTACCGTTTTGCGACTTTTTTCCTCCCTTCTCCGTTCTCTCTCTTCCTCGTTTCTTCTTTTCTCGTCCGCGTTCTCGCCCCCTGGTCGCGTCGATCCTCTCTATCTCTCTCTTCTTCTCTCTCGTCCATCCTGTTTGTCCGTCCCCGGCCATCTCTCGACCCTCCACGCGACACCGGTCGCTCGACTTCTCTCTCTCGAACCCCCGGAACGCGCGAAAAGAGAGCTCGTGGATAGAGCGGGAAGGGTTCAGGAGGTAAAGCAGTTATTGCCAAAAAAGATAATGCGAGGGAAGATTAAATTTTTTTCGTCCCGTCCTTTCGAACTCTTCCGACCGCGCGTAACTTTGCCGCTTCTCGCGTTCTCCGCGTTCCGCCGGTTTTTTCTTCTTCCGCTCGTCTTTTTCTATTCGGAATCGAGAGCCGTGTACGATTCCTACGGACGAATTTCCCGCGAGAAGAACGCGGCCGAACGATCGGGATTTAAAACACAATTTATATTTAAATTCCGTTTCGTTAAAGCGCTCGGTCCGAAGGAAATCCAGCCCGCTCGTTGGAAACGGCGGCTAAATCTTTAATAATCCATCCTCGAGTGGCGCGCCTCTCGCCGCACAGCGCCGTTCCGAGGAGTATTTTTCAGGACGTTGTAAGTAAGTAAGTAAGTACGAGCGAACACCGCGAAGAAAAGGAAGAAGCGCGACCGCGAAGTCGTCCGTGCTCCTCGGACATACTATAATAGTAATTTCGAATTTTCCACGGCGCTCGCTCCGATTTTCGCGCGTACCGACCAAAATAGCGAAACGCGCGCGTACGATGCCCTCCTATTAGGTTTACCCGCATCGATTAGTAGCCATTTTAATCGAAGAGGCCCCCCTTGCCGGTACGCGGCGGAATAGTTGCGATATACTAGCGTATTACGATACGAGCAGCCATACCCGGAGAATTGGAACGTGGTTGCGTTAACATAATGGAATTCCGCGGAATGTTATACCCATTATACATGGCCGATTGCGTCACCGCACCGATATATACCCACGATAGAAAAATAATACTCGGCCTCCGAGCAACGATTCGCTTCCATTTTATACTTTGTTCGCGCTACGTAGCGAATCGACGAAGGACAACGCGATTTCTTTGCTTTTCGCCGATTTCGGAAACGGCCGGTCGGATTTAACGGCGGGCTCGTCGTAGGTTAGGGAGGACGCGACAGAGGGGTCGCGAAACGAGGAGCGGTTACTAGCTGTTCGTTTAATAACTTGCGCCGGTGGCGGACGATAAATAATGCACGAGACACCGTCGTCCCGATGTAATTAACGAGAACAGTCGATACCCGGTGTGTGTCACGTATGCGCGAACGAGCGCGTAGTCAATATTTGTCATTCGTTTTAACAAAAAGAACGTTACAAAACGGTCGGACGCTCCGCGTCCAAATATTGACTATGCTCATTGACGTTCATTGATACTCTCAATTAGTGCACGCCGTCGAAGCCGATCGTCGGGTAATTGGACCTCTCCGGCAAAGGCATGCGACGCGGTCTTCCCGTTCGCGGCCGTTTCGTCGCGTAAAAACGCGTTTCGCGGTAATTGGAAGCATCGTCGAGATCGTACCCGTGCGAAATTCGACGTCGCGCGTCGTCGTCGTCGTCGTGGATCTTGCGG